ATAAGATGGTTAAGAAAAATAGATTAATTATATCTCCAGTGGCTTTTGTCAAAAGGTATGGAGGCTAGCAATCTCCCTGTCACTCCCGTGATGTTGAAATGATTGGCTTTCAACGGGTTCTTGGCAAGGTATCTATTATCTCTTGTTTACTTCTTCGAGAAACAATGGCCTTCCTCTCCCCCATGGATGCCAATTGGAACTCTGCAGGCCACACTGTCAAGACTCTGCAAGCTCTATAGTCTGCCATAGTAATGCTACCTTTGGTACTGCTTTCTGTCATCCTAGAAACGAGGTTGCATTTGACTAGAACTTATCTCCAGTGTTTTCTTTGTATATTAACCTTTTTAATTAAAAAAAGAGAGAAAGTACTGAGAGTCAAAAGAGACAATCCTTCTGGATCCTGCTGCTTATGCTGTGCTCCATTGTATGAGCAGTTGGATTCTTTTTGAACTTGCAGAGTTTGGTTTTGCATACCTTGTGGTATAAGTTAGTGGTTCCAGCATTGGCCAACCCAGGTGTTCTTGGACTGCAATTTTCAGAAGTCTTCTCCACCAGCTGTGCTGGCCAGGGCTTCTGGGAGTTGTAGTCCAAGAACACCTGGGTTGCCCAAAGTTGGGAACCACTGATGTAAACCAACACTCTGTTTGTCATTCCTATGAGGAGATCAATAGCCTTTGCTACTGAAAGTCAGAGATCACACTGAGCTACCACTCTATTTCCCTACTCTTGCATACGATTCTGCCCCCTGAAGCAGGAGGGACACGACAACAAAATGATGGATTATGTTCATATCTTCCATTGTCAGAGTTGTACCTTGATTATTTGATCTTTATTACATTTCAGATCAAGTGAAGAGCCTACACAGATAGTGGATTATGAAATTAAAAACACCAATCCCGTAACAAGTGACTGCAGGGATGGAGAGATAGAGGAAAGCCAATTGGCTTAGGTACCTTGACCATTCTTTACTGTTCCAAAGAGTTTTCTAATGGGGGTATCAGTACCTCATTAAATTCCTAGTCACTAATCTTAGTGGTGGGAAGGTAAACAGCGTTCCGTGTCTAAATCACACTGGCCATGTGACCACGGAAAGATTGTCTTCGGACAAACGCTGGCTCTATGGCTTGAAGAGCGGGATGAGCGCCGCCCCCTAGAGTCGAACATGACTGGACAAAAATTGTCAAGGGGAACCCTTTAAATCTTAGTGGAAACACTCTCAACATCCATGCGACATTCCGCTTATCTCACTATATACAGGTACATGCAGTCATTCCTTCAAGGGTTTCTGCATCGTTTTGCCCTTCTCAAACTCTTCAGGTCATTTTGGGTCACCTCGTACAAGGAGCAGAGTTTAGTGCTATGGCACTTCCTTTCCGGTTTGAAGTTTGCCTTAAAAAAATTGACCTGGCGCTATGCAGCTCCAGACAATAGTGGAGTTTAGCTCCACAGTTTCATTAAGGAAACTAGTTAGTCCTTGCTTTTTTTTTGGAGAGAAGGGTGTTCAAACACAGTGTCCATTATGGCTACCAGTATACCCTCACCCTTGTATGGGAGCCAGCTTTTCAGGCTTCTGTGACCATGTCTGTACTCTTTTGTCGTCTCTCTTTCTCCTATTCATCAACAGATTTCCTAAAAGAATAAATGTATTTTTTCTCATTATTTTGCTATGGTTGTGCTCAAAATCCTACAAGGTAGGCTTCAGCAGTATGTGAACCAAGAACTCTCAGAAGTACAAGCTGGATTTTGAAAGGGCAGACGAACTAGAGACCAAATTGCTAACATGTGCTGGATTATGGAGAAAGCCAGAGAGTTCCAGAAAAACATCTACGTCTGTTTTGTTGACTATGCAGAAGCCTTTGACTGTGTTGACCACAACAAACTATGGCAAGTTATTAAAGAAATGAAAGTGCTTGATCACCTTATGTATCTCCTGAGAAATCTATATGTGGGACAGGAAGCAACAGCTAGAACTGGATATGGAACAATTGATTGGTTCAAAATTGGGAAAGGAATATAACAAGGCTGTATATTGTCTCTCTGCTTATTCAACTTATATGCAGAATACATCATGCGAAAGGCTGGACTGGAGGAATCCCAAGCCGGAATCAAGATTGCCAGAAGAAATATCAACAACCTCCAATATGCAGATGATGCCACTCTGATGGCAGAAAGTGAGGAGGAATTAAGGAACATTGTAATGAGGGTGAAAGAGGAGAATGCAAAAAATGGTCTGGAGCTCAACATCAAACCAAGATCATGGCCACTGGCCCCATCACCTCCTGGCAAATCGAAGGGGAAGATATGGAGGCAGTAACAGATTTTCCTTTCTTGGGCTCGATGATCACAGCAGCCACGAAATTAAAAGACGCCTGCTTCTTGGGAGGAAAGCAATGACAAATCTAGACAACATCTTAAAAACCAAATACATCACCTTGCCGACAAAAGTCCGCATAGTCAAACCTATGTTTTTTCCAATAGCGATGTATGGAAGTGAGAGGTGGAGCATAAAGAAGGCTGGCCACCAAAGAATTGATGCTTTTGAATTGTGGTGCCGGAGGAGACTCTTGAGAGTCCCCTGGACTGCAAGGAGAACAAACCTATCCATTCTGAATGAAATCAACCCTGCGTGTTCACTGGAAGGACAGATCCTGAAGCTGAAGCTCCAATACTTTGGCCATCTCATGAGAAGAGAAGACTCCCTGGAAAAGTCCCTGATGTTGGGAAAATGTGAGGACAAGAGGAGAAGGGGCCGACAGAGGAGGAGATGGTTGGACATTGTCATCGAAGCTACCAACATGAATTTGACCCAACTCCGGGAGGCAGTGGAAGACAGGAGGGCCTGGCATGCTCTGGTCCATGGGGTCACGAAGAGTCGGACAGGACTTAACAACCAAGCAACAACAGAGGTGAATGCAAGTGTAAGCAGAGAGGGAGGAAGAAACCCTTCTACTGCGCTTGTTTTGCTTAATGGCTTTCCCCTATACAACCACCTTTAGAAAATGCAATTAAACTGGATAATGAATTGAAACAAGGGTGACAAGACCCTTCTCTCTACCTGACTAGCAATATACAAGATTGTTAATGATTACAGATGAGGTTAGCCCAGCAGAGTGGAAGATGTGGTCCATATGGGTGAATTTGCCACAGCTAAGTTAAATTTTGCAGTACTTCAATTTTTCCAGATGAACAACCTGTCTCCCCAAACCACTCTATAATTCATATAGGTTTGTGGCAAAAAGGACTTCCCTCCACATTTTTCGTTAATGGATAACTAAACAGAGGGGTGAAATGGATGGCTAAAAAGCTTCCTGTTAAATCTACTCTGAAATTTTATTTTGGGATCCTTGGATACAAATTTGCTTTTCTATAAGACAAGTGTCACTGCTATTTTTCACCATTTTGGGGGATAACCTCAATTTTAAAATTAATTTTAATCTAGAGTAAAATATTTGTAATCAACTATTAGTTTCTTGCTCAACTGCAGAATTGCTTGGTAAAGAACTTATATTTATCCCTCATAATGTTCTGGCTATAGGCAAATCATTTTTGAAATTAAGATATGATTATCAGAATACAGTTGAAAAGCAGACTCTTGGTTTAAAACTAATCATGTTCTGGTAACTTCATCTTTAGAAACATAGTATATTTCTAGGATTTTTCTTTTAATATTTTTAGTATCTTCGGACTGTGGATAAATGAATCAGTGGATACTGATCCCGTAGATAAGGGGGTCATGGTGTACATCATATTAAGAGGAATACCTTCTTTTAAGATGTCTTATCAAGAGAAGCTAGAACATGTCTAAGTAATATGTTGAGCATATTTTCCCATTTGGGACATAAGATCCAGAATCCTTTTGGTGTTTATCTAAGATTTGAGTAACGCGCCATGGCTAATTGTGGCTACTTGATCAAGGGGGCAAGGCATGCCTCTGCCATGGGACTTGGTGCTCCCAGGATGCACCTTGGCACTTTGTCAATTAGTAAATTGTGTAAACCTTATGTGCAGAGTTCTAGCAAAAGGGTTTCATTTTTTTCTCAGCACATGTTATTTTGTGGGAGTGGGGAGGCTACAACCCTCCAGATGCTGTTGGGCTCCAATGTTATCAACTCCAGCTAATACGGCCAATGCCCATGATGATGGGAAATATAATCCAACAACCACAGGTGGAAAGGCAAGATGGATTCAGGGGGTCTTCTGATGAAGATCAGCAACATGTACTAGGAATTATTTATTAAATAACTACTGCAAGTTATTGATGCAGTTTGCTGCATTCTGCTATACCTTCTTGATGCCGCAGTTGTTGTTGTGGAGATAGAATTTTCATTAAGATATAGAGACCACTGTATTAATCTGCTGATTTCACTGATTATTATTGATGTTTTCATGGCACAAGAACACAAGAATGCTGCTGGATCACACCCTCTTCTCTAGCTTCTTTTCTCCAGACATTGTCAATTAGATGCTTTCAGGAAGCTCACCAACAGTGGCTGAAAACAGAAATGTTTATCCATTATTTCTCTCCATCAGATTGCCTTGTCACCTAATAACTAGCTGGGGTACTACTTCTACAATCCCATATCATTGGTTAAACTGATGGGGGTTTCTGAGAATTGAAGCCCAAAGCATTGGCGGGTCAAACTTCCTCTCTGTTCCATGTTGATTACAATGAAGAAATCATCAGTCTCAAATCAGACATTAAAGGGTGATTCTCATGTTTTCCCTCAGGATTTCCTCACTGCCTCAGTGATCAGACTTACAAAGTAAGATTGTGTTGACCTTCCGATGACCAATCAAAAACAAAGCACACGAAACACAAAATGTATAAGCAAGGAAAGCCGTATGCTATCACAAGCAGATGGATTCCACTTCTTCAGGGAAATGTATTCTACATAAATGCTAAACTGCATATTGTCTAATCTGATCCACCAGCTTCAGCCTGGGAAGCTGTCAGGATCATGGGGGCACAATATTGTGATATTGCTAGCCAGTTTAATTGTTAGAACAAAATGCTATTTATTGACTCATGGTGGAATCACATGACAGGCACTGATGAGGGACATCAACTTCCATTCCACAACCCCAACCCCAACCCACTCCAACACCCTACAGCTGGTTGAAAGAAAGTTTGGCACAATAGCAATAGGCATCCAGCAGTCCTTCCATGGTACTCGTCATGCTGAGTTTGGAGCCATGCCTTGTGGTGTTACTGTTAAACAAACACATTGTCTTAACAGACAGATCTTTGGGTGTCCTTGCTGAGCTGGCTAAGGTGACAGAATATAGATTGGATGGGAGAAGTTACATAATATCTAATTAGAGAAATTAGGGAAGCTGCTTGTGGCAGATCACTTCCAGGGGTGTAGTTGTATTCTTCAAGGTCTTTTAGAGTTTCCAATGCCTTTGCAAAAAGTGATCTGGAGAAAGGAAGGAAGGTATGGTAAGGTATTTTACTGACTTTTCTCCAACCATCAGCTATTCCCAAATATCCTGATATCCTACAGATGGAATGTCTGCCGCCTGAATGAGCAGCCACACCCTGTCAGATGGTAGGGTCAGCCCTATACAGTAGGACCTCTGCATCCATGGGGATCATTTCCAGGGACCCGCCCCCACTGAAAAATATGAATTATTGCAAACGCTATTTTAATAGCAAGTGCTATACATAGCATGATCTTTGGGTTCCACTAGTGGCCAGTCCTGGTAACCTCATCTTTAGGAATACATATTTCTAGGATTTTTCTTTTAATATTTTCAGACCATAGATAAGTGAATCAGTGGATACCGATCCTGTGGATAAGAGGGTCTTTCTGTGTATGTCGACCCTGACCCTTTTGATGGATTTTTGAAAAAGATGCTGGTGACTCACCTTTGTGTTATGCCCTTCAGGACTCATTAGGGTATCTCTTGTTACAGTTCAGCCTGCAAAGAGAATGATTTCAAGTTATTTTCTTAGCTTGGTCACACTCCCCTCCACTCTCCCTTTCATAGCTTCTCTGATGCTGGAGCTTCCATTTTCAACCCACTTTACTCTTCTTCCTCCATTTACCCCATACCTGCTCTGTTGCTCATTACTGTTTTCCATTAAACAATCAAAGCTGTTTGCAGTGGGCTCTGCTCAGTCACAGAAGACTGCTAGGGTGAAAAATCTCTTAAATCATTCCTTTCCAGAGCTGCTTCCGACTGGCACCTTATTCCCTAAATGTCTGGGGCAAAGCAAGGGAGGTGTGAAATGCTAACCAATCTGGAACTTCAAAGCAGAAGTATTGTCATGTTGCACCAGTGCTTAGATAGGGATATTGTCCAGACCAGATCTTCTGAACCCTCACCGAAGCAGAGTGACTTACAGACTTTAAGAAAGTTATATAACTTATTGTTGTTCTTCCCACTTTCCCAAGAACTTTTATTTTATTTATTTATTTATTTATTTATTTGATTTTTACCCCGCCCCTCTAGACCATGCAGAGATAGATACAAAATCATGGCTCACAAAGGTGGACATAGCAATGAATGAATGGACATGAGAATGAAGAAACAGGGTCTTTGTGAAACAACCTCAAATATCTGATTGCTGCCAGAATCATGTTCAGAAGACCTCCCAAGTAATTTGGCTGCCTGAGGCAAAAGACAAGCTGCTGTCTCCCCAGTACATGCACAGAGCCCAACGAGGCTAGTAGCTGGCTTGTTTGATTGCTGCATTTAAATATTTTAAAGTGGGATTCTGTGATGAACACCCCAAGATCCAGAACTGTTTTGACAGGAGAAACTGATTTACCACTATGGCGGCAAAGAGCAACATACATTTCTTACTACTTTTATTGTATTTATTTATTATTTATTTATTTATTCGGCTTTTACTCCATCCACCTAGATTCAAACGAATCTACTCTGGGTGGCTTACAGTCCGAGGTATATAAAACGAGAATTAAAACAGACAATATCCAAACAAAAAAGAGAAGTACGCAAAGTCCAAGATGGGAAAACACAGGGAACTAAGTGATGGAAGGGGGGAAGGCCTGCCAGAAGAACCAAGTCTTCAGCTTGTTCTTAAAAACTCCCAGTGTGGATCCCAGGAGGATCTCAGGAAGCAAGATGTTCCAGAGGTGAGGGGCCACCACCAAGAAGGCCCGGTTTCTAGCTTTCTCCTTCTGGGCATTTCTCGGGGTCAAGCCCGTCAGCCTCCCAGCCTGGCTAGATTGAGTGATATGAGTAGAGTTAGGTGGGAGCAGACACACTGTTAGGTATCGAGGTCCTAAACCACATGTAAGCATTAATACATCGAAGTCAATGCAGAAACAAATGGGCAACCAGCGTAAGGCCACCAGAGTGGGGGAAATGTGATAGTTTTTCACCCCAGTGAATAGTCTGGCGGCCGTGTTCTGGACCATTTGTAGCTTCTGCATCAATCTGATGGACAGCCCCACGTAGAGCGCATTACAGTAGTCTAATCTCGACACTATGAGCGCATAGACCAGGGGGTGAGCGCCCATACATCCATATTTTATGAATGATTTTGAGGATGCCCCAGCCAGGAAGCTACAGTACTTCCTTTCCCAAACAAGAACAGAGCAGTAACTAGAAACACGCTCCTCTACTCAGATACCACAAAGTCCATCATTAGGCAGTGATTCAACTGCACAATGATGCTATCTATAGAACTATTTTGTTTGTTTATACATTATGTAGCCTTCCGCCGAGGAGCATAGAAAGATCATATATACTATGTTTCTGCTTTATCCAGTCAACAAACTTGTGTGGGAGGGTGGTTGGCCTTAGAGATACTGATTGTACATAAAAGTACCCCTTGCAGAACAAGGACTTGAACTCAAGACTTGCAAGTGTACGTCTGATATGGTGCCCACAATGCGGACCCCACGGGCACTCTGACTGGCTTCCCTTTCCAAAGTCTTTATGCAGGTTTTCCCGGATGACTCCTTTTCCCCTTTAGACTTCTTCTTTCTTACTGCCTGCAGATTTCTTTTGGTGGGTTTTCTTTAGCCTGGTTTTCTACGGTCCAGACAACAGGCCGCCAATGGCAGCCATCTTGGTTTCTTGTCCCCAGGTCTGCTCTTTCAACATGTCCGGTCTTCCACTTCCTAATTTTTCAACCTCAAAACGGGTGCCAAGCGGATGGGGAACTATATGGTACCTCCTCCGTTGTTCTTTCCTGGAATAATTGGCTCCCACCCATTTTCCCTCAGCCTGGTCATTTTCTGTACACAGAGTCAAACCAGGGTGGGATTTTTTTTGGGGGGGGGGTTGTCTGAGGTAAAACTTGTAGAAAGCAATGATCTGGGATACATGCTGAGTAAAGGCTCTCCTACCACCCATGCCCCACTTTTAAATTTTATATATATATATATTTAAAAAAGAACTTAATGAACAGTGCAAGGCAGTTTCCACCTCCCCATCTCCAATGGCCCAGAGAAAGAGGGCCTGAATTTGTGAGGCTGAAGGAGAGATGTGGGCAAGAAGGCAAGGGAGGAATCAAAATCCTGTTCCTGCTAACAGTGTACTTCTTTTGAACAACTACAATAATATAAAATTAGACGCCAGTTCCCTGCTTCATGCCTAAAGAGTTCAGGTCCACGGACACCAAAATGGCCGCCCTCCTCCCACATCAGTCTCGGCTTCCTTTGTGGCACTCCGAAACTTGTGGGTTATACCCGTTCAAACTTTCTTTTTTTCTTTCCCTCTCAGAACTGAATGCTCATCTAGTCAAGGGCGGAGGACCCAGGACCGTCACCTAAGACAACTAGCATGTCATGGCGAAGACGGCATGCCTGACAGGCTAGATTTCTATGTGAAGGGATCCTCATAACTCAGTCATATATGTAATCATCCTTAGAACCTCAGTTCGAAGGAAGAAGGGGGTCACTACAGGAGGGACCCGCTGTTCCTCCTGAGCCCCATGGCTGGACCCCTCTCTTGGGACCTTCAGGTCCTGCATCCCATAAGCTAGTTTGCCACCTGGGGTGCAGGATTTCACCCCACAGGCTAGCGTTTGGGTCACCTCGTACAGGATCAGAGTTTAGTGCTATGGCTCTTCCTTTCCAGTTTGAAGTTTGCCTTTTTTAAAAAAAAAAAATAACCTGGCGCTATGCGGCTCCAAACAATAGAGGAGTTTAGCTCCACCGTTTCATTAAGGAAACTAGTCAGTCCTTGTTCTTTTTTGGAGAGAAGGGCGTTCCAACACAGTGTCTAGTCTCCATTATGGCTACCAGTATACCCTCACCCTTGTATGGGAGCCAGCTTTTCAGGCTTCTGTGACCCTGTCTGTATTCATTTGTCCTCTCTACTTTCTCCTGTTCATGAACAGATTTCCTGAAAGAATAAGTGTAATTTTTTTCCTTATTACTTTGCTATGGTTATGCTCAGCAGTATGTGGAATGAGGACTCAGTAAAATGTCTCAGGCTGACCTTGAGCACCCCTTAATCCCTCCCAGAGCTTAAGCAGCCGGGACAGGTTGAACACCTTAGCCTTAAGCCAGGGGTGGCCATCCTTCGGCACGCCAGAGATTTCGGACGACCACTCCCAGAATCCCCAGCCCGGATGGCCGATGGTCAAAAGGGGCCATGGGAGTCGTCGTCCGAAACCTCCCGAGGTCCTCGGGTTCACCAGCCCTCCTTCTCTCCACATCACCAGTCCGCCCACCCCGGCTTGACCTGTGGGCCCTCGTGGCGTCCCTGGTGCCAGTCTTGAGGGGTCTTTTCGGGCGATCCACCCTCCAACCTGGCACGGTGGTGGACTTTCCGCCCAAGCAGGGGCAACGGCAGCAGCAACCTGAACTGCCACAACAGACCCCACCACAAATGTCGTCGCTTCAGGAGACACCCTCGGCAGGTGCTCCAAGCCATGGCTGAGGGGGCCCCTCTCAATCTGCTTTTTTCTTTTGGGTTGGCGTCTCGTTTCCTTTCTATCGTATGTTTTCCCTTCCGAGAGCCACGCTGGAAGTAGCCAGGGAAAGTCCCTGGAGAGAGAAAAAGATGCCAGTTGGGGAAACAATGGTGTCAAACACTCTAGAATTTTCCTTCTTTTTCCACCTGTCCTGGCTTACCTGCTTTCAGGCTCCGGAGGCCTGGCTGAATGGGCTTTAAAAGGCTATACATTTTTACTTCGTTTGTAATTAATTGTAATTGTTACTAAGTTGGCAATATATCTGCATGTGCTACCAGCCTGGTCATCTGGCTGTCTGTCTGTCTGCCTGCTTGCCTGCCTGCCTGCCTGCCTGCCTGCCTGCCTACCTACCTACCTACCTACTGTGTTTCCCTGAAAATAAGACAGGGTCTTATACAGTGGTGCCTTGCTTAACGATTGCCTCGCTTAACAAGGAAATCGCTGTATGATGAGGTTTTTG